TTTTTTTGGTACTGATCGGCTAAGGTCAGACCAAATTTCGTCCAACATTCGGCAATTTAAAATTTTGCCGAAATGGACTATTCTGACCAGTGAAATATTACCATTAGTTAAAGCAGTAATAGGCGTAACATTTAAAGTGAATGGAGACAAGTTATCATCAGATATATAAAGTGGTATCATTTGTAGTAGATGGCCTCGAATTATTACCAACTGAAGTTTTATTGATTGTAGGTTTTGTAACAAGTGATTTAACTTTCTGTGTAGTAGTTTTTCGTTTTTTCTTTCCATTACTTGGTGTAGAGTTCGTATTTACTTCAAAGCCATCAATAATCTAAATAAAAAAAATGTGGTTATTTTGTACCATGTAAAATTCATAAATGTTGTAGTACTTACAGCTTCAATATCTTGCTGGTCATTTATTTTACGCTTTGATCTAAGATTTCTCATAGACTTCATAGCTAAATAATTAATAAAACAATGAAAAAATGGAAAGATGAAAAGAACATGAAAAAGAAAAAAGTTAAAATTAGTTTAAATTATTTAAACTATTTAAACTATTTATATAAAATGATGATTAATGATAATGATCGTCACATTATTAATCGCATAATTTATAATGACGGATATATAAACATATAATCATAATACAAACTAATACTGGTAAATATATTATTTTCATTTTTCACAAGTTTCATTTTATAAAATTATTATTATTGATAATATATTTAATGGTATTTCATAATTACTTCACATCGGAACATCATTAATTAGATAAAAATATTCAAAGAATTTTGGTTGAATTTACACTGGCAATCTCTCATCCAATTGATTTTCATTTCGTAATTACACATCACATTAATAATAATTAGTTTTTACAAGTGTAACATTACAGTACTTCATCCCCTTTTCATATTATATTCATTGTAGCCTAAATATTTTAAATTTTTTAAAATCATTATGATACACTATTTTTTATATCATCATTTTTGATTGAAAGGGTATCTCAATTTTTAAAATGTGGACATGTAATATTTGCTTTAAAACTTTTAATCGTTCAACAAGTTATTATAATCATCGACAAAGCCACAAATTCAATTATGAAATAAGTAGTAGTGAACATGAATCAAGTTCAGATGAAGAGTCTTCAAACGAAATTTCTTCAGATCAATTATTTTCAAAGAGGGATGATGTTTATAACCGTAATGATGGTGATGATGGTGAAGAATCAAATGAAAGTGACGAAAATACTAGAATTGCATTTGATGACTTATCTGTTCCTATTATTGAACATTCAGTTTTAGCAACAAATATAAACGAAATGGCAATTCCTATCTTTTCTGAAGATGATGATCAAACCTTTTCTGATGATGATCAATCTGATGAACAAAATTTTCCAAATAAGATTTATCGTGATTTTGTTAAGCTTTAGTTTGTAAATCTTTAAAACAGTTATATATGTTATCTATTGATGCAAATTATATATATTATATTTAGGTAATTATTATAATTTTATACTCATTTGAAAATTAAATAAAACATATAAATATTTTTTAAACCTATACAAATTTATATGAAAATTTTATATAAAATATGTATCTAATTATATACATATATAGTTAGTATATAAAATACTTGCATAATTTTTATTTAACTATAAATTACAAATAAACTTATATTTAAGTAATTCTATATCTATATAATTTTATATTTAATATTTGCATATTATTTATTCGACTATAAATTACAAATAAACTTATATTTAAATAGTTTTATATTTGCACAAATTTTATATAAAATATTTATAATATTTCTATATTTAAATAAAAAGCAAATAAAATGTATGTGTGTGATATAGACTTATAAAAATTTATATAAAAAATTTATATTGGATATATATAGGATTATAGATATTACATAAATTCTATAAAAAATATAACTGCTGATGTTGCAAATACATTATCTAATGTTCCTCTTGTTATAATTGGATAGCCACGGATTTTTAAGCGATCAACGTACTAAATTTCCGTTGACATAGCGCCCCTGGTGACACAACTATAATAAAGTGAGAACCTGATTTGGACAATGGTATCACCTGATTGATCTGATGTTCTCCATTAAGGTTGGTCACTGTAAGTAATAATTACGGCATTTTGGATTACAACTTGGATTACTACCTAATTTCAGATTACGACTCAAAATTATGAAATTGCCGTATTAAAGTTGTAATTATGCTTAATTTCAGATCCAGATTCGCCTAAAAAAGAAAGGGTTGAATGTTAAGGGACATTTTGCTAAAATAATAAGTTGATTCAAAGAAAACCCACTCACTGGATTTTCATGTGTCTAAAAAAACAACCATCTAAAAAAAGGATAAATGAAATATTAGGAAACATTTTGTTAAGAGAAATGAATTAACTGATTTCTCACTAAGATCCCATGACACTAGTGTCTGTACCATCACCTAGTAGGTCATACTTGATGTATTGAAAAATAGATTTGAACTTGAATAATAGTTCAAAGGTACTGTATACAAGGTGCTTGTCTTTAATTCAATCAATACCTTGAGCAGTAACTCAGTGTCATGGCCTCACTCTACTTAGCAGAGATGTTTTTTTAGATTCCTGATAAAGCTTGAAGACCAACTCTGCGAGGATTGTGCAAGAGAAATTTAAATAATTCCATTTTAGCTTAAATCAACCTTCATATAATCCTCATAGACATTATAGATCCGCCTAAAAAAAAAATAAAATATTAATAACCGTTTTGTTAAAAGTATTTTAAAAAAAAACAAAGAAAAACTTACTGAAATTCATGTACAAAGAGCCAAAGAACCCAACTGTCTAATAAAAAGAAAGAGAACAAACTTTCAGTAAATGTTCATTAGAAGACAGAGTAAAGAAAAAAAAGTAGAAAATTTGCACTTATTAAAATTTCACATCCAAAGAAACCTAAATAACCGCCTAAAAAAAATGTAAAATGTTAATAATGTTCATTTAAAGAAGGATAAAAATAAAAAAAAATTACACATACCAAAATCTTGCGTCAAAAAAATTTTTTGAAATTTTGAAACTAAAAAAAAGTTAAACCTCAAAACTTTTCAAAAAAAAATTTAAAAAGAAGTTTCAATAGTATGACCAAAACTTTTAAAAGAAAATTAAAAAAAAAATTAAAAAGTTTTGGCTTTGATCAAAATCTTTAAAGAGTTTTAGCTCAAAACTTAATTCAATCGCCATAACACACATGATATAAATACCTTTTTTAACTTAATTATTTTTTTATAATTATGTTAATAATAAAAGCATAAAAATTAATAATATAAAATTCTATTATTATGTAGTAAAAATTATAGTAAGTGATAAAAATTAATAGTAAAATTTATTATCAGTAAAATCATAAAGATACTACTATTAATTTAAACGCATATTTAATTTAAGCTATTAATTTATTAAGCTATTAATTTAACTGTTAAGCTATTTTAAGTATTAAATTTTAAGTATTTAAGTTACGTGAATCACGTAATACTATAATAATTGAACGATCAATTAAACTTTTTTTAACTTCACTCTTTCCCACACTTTCATCCTATCCTATTTCCACACTTTCGTCTTCCCCTTTTCCCATTCTTTTTCCTCTTCCCCCTTATTTATACTTTTTAGATGACTTCTCAGTTCTTGGATATGGTATTCTGGTAAGTTGTGTAATTTTTTTTTATTTATTTTATCTTTTAAAAAATGGCTACTAATTCTTTTTTTCTTTTTTTGGACGGTTAGTTCTTTGGCTCTTGGATACATGGGAACTTTGGCGAGGAGGGTTTCTTTAATTTTTTTCAAATTTATCTTAATGAAACATTTTGTTAACATTTTTGTTATTTTTTTCGTATGTCCAAAACACCTATTTCAAAGGGACATAATTCGTAATGTCCAAAATTATTCTTTTTTTTGATTTTTATGTAACGAAACATTAACTAACATTTCGTGTTTTGCATTTTGTAGCTTATACGGCTTTGGACAAATGTGGATTTTGGTAGGTGGATTTTTTTTTCTAATACTATTTTTTTAATGAAACATTGCTAACATTTCGTTCTTTCATTTTTTTAGACAGTTAGCTCTTCGGGACATGTGATTTAGGTGAGGAATTGAAAATCTTTTTTTGATAATTTATTTCTTCAATGAAACATTTGCTAATGTTTCGTTATTTTCTTTTTTTTAGAGATCCGGTTGGTAAGTTTACGAATTTGTTTCAAAAATTTATTAAAAAAAACGTTTCTAATGTTTCTAACTTTTTTTTTTTTAGGAATCTTACCCAATTTTTGGATTATGGAACAGAATCATAAGTTTTCAAATACAATTCTAAACTTAAAAAAAAATGTTTTATTAACTTTTTTATATTTTTTAATTAATGGTAAATTTCAAAAAAAATTTTCAGAATTTCTCTTTAATTTTTTTTTTAAAAAAAGAAATGTTTTATTAATACTTCCCTATTTACTTTTCATAAAATTTGGTCTGAATCATATTGAGTTTCATATGTATTATTGTAAAACTTATTTTTAATATTTTTTAAAAGAAATGTTTTATTAACATTTTTTACTTTTTGTAGGGACTTCAGTCAATCCAACCCACAGAGAAATTTCGAAGGTAATGTTACTTTCAGTGTTTTTTTTAAGGGAACAGGTTTACTAACTGTTTCCTTCTTTTTTTTGTAGGGTTTACCTTTGAATTAGCTATTCCTGAGGATGGTAAGTTTTAAAGTGTCTTTCTTCGAAACTTTATTTATTTTTATTATTAAAGAATAGGCTTACTAATCATTTCTTTATTTTTTTGTAGGTTTCCCTTTGGACTTTTATTGGATGGACGGTAAGTTTTGAAGTTTCTAACTAATTTCGAAACTTTAATTTTTTTTCTATTAAAGAATCAAAGTTGTTACCATAGTCACCGATGATGGAGAAACTTTTGCAATTATACGATCAATTTTTAGCCATGAAAGAAATGATTAACATTTCGCCTTTATTGTCATCAATAGGTTTAAAATTACTGGTTTAATGAAATTAGGATGTCTGGTTTATAGACTTCAAGATACGTGACAGATATGTTCTATGAGCGTAGTTGATATAAGTAGTACTTTATATTTTGTTCATTGTTGTTACAACGATAAATGTAATAATAGTGGACATGATTTAGGGAATAATTATTATATGAGAAATATATACTTCTTCAAAGTCATTTTAATGTTAGTTAATGCTTCGCTGTGAGGTATTAGATTAATTTTATGTGATTAGCATTGAAACATAAAAAAATAATTATCATTGCATTTACTAATTTTTAAAAAAACGTTTAATAATTCTTTATAATATATTTACGATTTATTTACTATTATTTACTATATATTTACAAAGTGCCATAAATATATTTACAATTTGTTTACTAATATCTAACAACTTTGATAATAAATTTTTTTTCTGGTCATCATTATCATCATCGATCGTCTTAATGCGCAGTAACTGCATATAGGCTATATACAGATTAATGATTTACTAGATCGTAATGAAACTATTACTAATTTAGTATGCCATTTAGTCACGATTTGGTCACGAGGTTTTGACTATTAATATATTTCTGTAAAAGAAGTTTCAATATAAAAGTTGTTCCATACTATTGTACCTTTAATTTAAAAGGTGAATTTATTCTATATAGTGTAGTTGTAAATAATATTATTAATGAAAAACATAAAATTATTTGGATTTGTTCCACACAAACTAAAATAACAAATGGGAATGTAAGAGATTTTACAGGATACCTAAAATTATGAATTAATTAGTATAACAAAATATGATAAAGTTTACCTGTGAATGGAGTATCGATACTATGAAAGGTGTAAAAATATTTGATAATAATAAGAATAAGAATAAGGTAATAAATATTATAAAATTTATTTTCAAACCAATCAATGTTAAATTATAGTTAAATAAATAAATACTATTTATTTTTTTAGTTTGAAAAAAAAATATCAGAATATTTAGTAATAAAAAGTTTATTTTTCTAAAAATTAATGATAAAATCATCATTTATTCAATCGAATTGGAATTACTATTGCTTCTTTGGATATAAATAATGGTAACCATTTTTAAAAAATTTTATTTATACTTTAATTATTACTCATATTAAATCATTATTTTTTATTTAGATATTCAACTATACAATTTTATGAATCATACTGGTTTATTTCTTTTACCTTCTTTATTCTATTATACCTCAGATAAAGAAATCAAATATTGCTGGAACAATAAATACGAAAATATGTTTAATTTGTGATTCACGTAACAATCGGAGAAAATTACTATTCAAATTTGGGAAGAGAAAATAAAAACGTTTTTTGCGATTATCTCATGATTCAGTGATTCAATCTCGATGAAAGTTTTATGTCATGTAGCTCTCTACGCCTTCTATAAAATAAAAAAAAGATCTCGAAATTGGACCAATAAAATGTGAGATAATCGCAAAATCAATTTTTCCTGGGGCATATCGGATTCCAAATTTCGAATCTGACATGCTCCAGAAAAAATTGATTTTGCGATTATCTCACATTCTATTGGTCCAATTTTGACGATCTTTTTTTTATTTTATAGAAGGCGTAGAGAGCTACACGACAAAAAAATGTTCATCGAAATTGAATCACTGTAAAATGATATAATCGCAAATAACTTTTTTATTTTTTCCCCTAAATTGAATAGTAATTTCGTAAATTTTCTCTAATTGTTATGCGAATCACGAATTAATCAAATAAACTGATGATCAAACAAAGTTTGTGTTTGGAATTCGAAATGGACTTGTTTGGAAATCTAAACTTTACGAAAAGATGTCAAAAATGAACTTTTCATCCGAAAATTCTGATGAATTAAATAAAAAAAATAACAAAATTGTTAAATGTGATGAATACTTAAATGTTCATTCATTTAATCTATATATGGAATTATGGATAATACTCTGTCTACATTATTTCAAAAAGCCACAACAAATGATAAAGAATCAACTGAATCAACTGAAAATTTAATTAAATGGGATATACGTGTTGGTGATGGTAAAATTAAACTGGAAGTTTTCAAAAAAGGAAATTAATTAACATGAGAATTGAAAATTTTCATTATCCTGACAAAAAATATATTAGTATCAGCAATGATCATAAACTAGTTGCAAGTTCATTATTTAATAACGATGATATCGTTATATTGACAACATTTGGTATTCTTATTTAACGCAAAAATAATTTACTATAATAATTATAATTATATGATGAATCATTCTTGTAATTCAGAATTCTATTAACATTATTTAATGCGATGATATAAATTTATTGCTGTATTACAAAAGTAGTTAATAAAAATTATAAAACTATATACAGTATATACTCTTTGAACTTTTCACAATGAAAATGTATTATAAAAATCATTGTTTAAATGAAGACTGAATTTTTAAAATTATTTTAAAAGAGGATGACAATTTCTTAACATTAATTACATTTTTTAATATTTTATCAAAATCTAATCTAGATGAATCTATATTGTTAACCTTTTTATCATCATTTATGATAGAATATTTGATACTAATCGAAAGATTAAATTTATCCTCATTGCTTTTTATTGTTTTTTTGAAGAATAAATAATCATTTCTTTATATCGCTCAATAATAATAATCAAAGGACATTTCAAATTCACTTATTACGCAAAATTTTAGTTATGTTTAGAACTTTATTTTTTCTAGATATCTTTTCTAAAAGGCTTTCCTTTTTAATATATTATAATTTGCATGAGATTGTACAATATACATTTTTTTGATTGATTAAGTTACAAATGGTTTGACTTCTTAAATAAATTATACAAAAAGATAAAAAATAAATTCTTTTATAAATTTTTAAAATATATGTATTTAATGATGAAATGGAAATTGATTTTTTGCATTATTACATATTTGAACAAACCGGATTTTAAATATTAAAACTTGGTATAAATTGAAATAAAAAAAAGCATATAAATTACTTACTTCCCAGCATGATATATAATAAATATAAAATTATGAATACTATAAAATATGAATAAGTAAGAATGTATGGCTTTTTTCTTTGATATTTATTAGTTTATTTAGTTGCTGTTAAGAAACTAGGTGTTAATATTATATTGTAATACTTAAATAAGTATCAAAAATTAGAATTTTTTAAGTTTTATGTTGGATATGGCCCATAATAATATATTCAAATTATCTTTTTTATAGGGACTACAAAAAGTGTCTATTTATTTAAGAAATATAAAATATAAGTATTTAATAATTTTATAAAAATGCATGATATTATAATTTAGCCAATAATTATACAGTTTTTGATGTATTTCCAGCAGAAACTAAAAATTTGAATGCTACTGTATATAGAGATCTAGAAAATTTGATCTATAATCATTGCTTCACTATTAATCTCTTTGTTTACAATATAAATAATTTATCAATCTCATCAATTAAATAAGAGTAATAACTAAGTTGTATCAGAAAGGTTAGCATTATACAATTTCAATATTTTAGATGTTCAGTTGCTATTATAATTTATGAGAAATATTGATTATGATATTAATCTAAGAAAAGAATATTAGTAAATTTTCAAAAGTATGAATTTAGATAAATTTTTTAAACAAATAAAAGTATAAATAAACATTATTTCAATAATTATCATACTTGTATTACTTGTATTCAATAATATTTAATCTTATTACTTTATAGTAAAACTGAAAAAGTACAACATAATAATGCTTTCTATGTAATCATTGATAATAACAAATGAAGAATATATAAATAATAAAATTATTAATCTTCAATCATACAATCAAAACCCTGAGACTCTGCTTGAACTGAAGTAAGTTTGCGACTTGTAAAATATGCTTGTGGATGATATTGTATGATAGAAGTGCTTGCTTTTTCTTGTACTAAAGCTTTGTTTGCTTCTACAAATTCTTTCATATCATTTTTTAGTTGATTATCAATATCAGATACAAAACATTCATAATTTTCATCTTTGTTTATTTCATAATATTTATTAATACATCTAATCCATCCAGATATAATATTTTCAAGCATTATTATGGTTGGTCTATTGGAAGGACTTAAATCCCAACATTTTTTCATTAAATCTATATAGCATTTTGGAGTATTTTCCATGATTTTAGGACGTTTCCCTTCATAAACACTTAAGATAAAGTGATGATCATGTGCTTCATGGTTAAATGGAGGAATGCCTGATGTAAATTCCCACATTATCATTGAAAAGCTATAAATATCACTTGCTGGAATATAGGGTTTTTTTCTTAATATTTCAGGCGCCATGTAGGGTAAAACTCCATAAATTTCATTAACTTTATTATCAGAATCTTGTAAATCACTTATAGGTTTGCATAATCCTAAATCAATAATAAATATCTCATTGTAATTATCTGACATTAAAATATTACCATCATGAAAATCACCATGAGTTAAATTTGATTCATGAATTACTTTAAGTCCTAATATAATTTTTTTCAATAATTGTAACTTATCTTGCCATTTGAATTTAATTATATCAGATAAACATTTTCTCAAACTTCCTTTTTTTGCATAACTCATTACTATTATATAATTTAAATTATTTGGATCTTGAGTAATACCTAAGAACTGAATAAATTTTGAAAATGATTTTTTCTGACAACTATAATAATATTTCCACTACATAAATGATAAAAAAATCATTAAATTTTTGCAAAAGTAAATAAAATTTACCATTATATACAAATACTATACCTCATCCAGAAATCTATTATTTAAACTTGATGAATTATTAAGTGTTTTAAGAACAACCTCATAACATGTTTGTCTATTCCATTGTTGTTTATCAAAATTCCAACCATAAATAGGTCCATCTGACCAGATAGCTTTATGAATTTCACTAAATCCTCCTTTATCATAATAATTAATACTTGACAATTTATTATAAGGTATCCACTCTAATATTTCATAACTACTTTTAGCATTTAGTTGTGTTTCCTGAATAAATTTATCAATAAATTCATTTTTACTAGCCCACTTTAAAAAATTTTGTTGAAATCGTTTAGTATTACATTGTTGACACCACTGGTAATCAGTATATTTTTGCTTGCATTCATCACATAATCCAACTACTTCATTCTTAGGATTCACTTTGTTATTTTCTACTCCTTTTTGATACCAATAAAAGGCCTTTTCTAAATTCTTTTCTGTTCCTTCTCCATTATAATAGTGGTCGACTAAATTATACATTGCCTTTTCATCACCATTTTTTGCTGCTTTTTGACACCAATGAAAGGCTTTTTCTAAATTCTTTTCTATTCCTTCTCCATT